GATGTCTCGAGTACTTCAGCACCTTGAGGTTTTAAATGATCAAAGTCATGCTCAAAAAGAGAAGATGGTGAGATCATTACTTTTTTTGCAGGTACCATATTTGATGACATATCTTCAATTAGAATATGTTGATACTAATACTTTTTAACTAAGTGAGAAAAAAAACGTCAGTAAGTGGTATAATAAAGATAAAGTTTTAAAGTAAAAGGGAAGCCATATTTTTATCGTTCCCCCTTGCTTGGTCCAACTTCCTAGTCAAGTCAGAAGTACTGACTGTAATTTACAAGAACTGTGGAGGAAATTGAATGTGGGTTGAGTGATGCTCATACAGGTTGGGGTAAAATTAGCACTGAGGGTCGACTTTACGTTCAGTGCACAAACTTACATATAATTAGTGTGCAGTGCAGCAACTTTATTTGGACAGATACTTTCCTCACATAGTTACATAGTTAATAAAGGTAGTTTCCGCACATAATATACCTGCCAAAAACAGATAAACTCTAGACTGCGGGGCTATTAATGCACGTGCAGGTTAGCATGCATTATTTTAACAAAGTGAAATACTTGGCTAAATGCTCGAATGTTGTTGTGTTGTAATAACTGGATTTTCAGGCTAAATTACTTAGAGCTTGATTGTCACTGTGACCACAAAACAACCCTTGAAGAAAACTATTACTTCTACTTTTACTTTAAACTTTATAAACTAACACACACTTTATAATTCTTGCGCTCATACACTAATGTTGAAATACAAGCACCTTGCGTGGAGATGCCCTGCAAAATGCAGGAACAAATAACCAACTAACTGCCACAAATGAGAAGAATAAACGTTCATGCTGCTTCAGCCTACGCTTTGATTTTAGGATTCTTGCTCCTGCAGCTTTATAGATGTGCATGCAAAAACTGACTGCGTAAGAAAAGTTCAGACAGCGTGGTTTAATCTTATCTTTTTCCTTCCTCTTCAAAGGCCACACGCTTGCATTGCCACGATCACACATATTTTCCGTTTCTTTTGAATACACAGAAAACTTTTACACAGTTTCACAGTGGTTATTTAGTTTCCACCGTACTGACTTCCTCTTCCTCTTCGTCTTGTTTTTTTGGCGGTCGGGGGTAATACAGAAAGGCTCCAGTGTTGCTTTAAAATAGAACATCTTGATGGCAACAATAACAACACAAAAATAAAGTTCAGGGCTGATCCTGCACTTTGTTCAAAGTGGACTCTTCTGCACATGTGACCAATGGTCCTCATTGACCAATGGTCCTCTTTCTATTAAATAATGCTTTGTCACCCTCTCCTGAGCCAAACCATGGGGTTGTATTCACCTCACGGATGCCCCTCTTTATGTGGCGGAGCTTAACAGGATGCTCCGTACAGACGCTCTTGGACACAGCAAACGCCGGGCACAGAAGAAATGAATAGGGTGCTCTGTGGTTTCCCCTAAAAGAGTGTTTGTGTGTGTACTTGTGTGTGTGTGGGTTTGCTGCAGGGGGTGGTTTGTTAGGGCCATTTGTTGGCGCGTGCACATGTCCTTGTGTGCGTTTGTGCAGAATGTGCACGCGAGGCACTGAACATGTGTGTTTATTTCTCTCTGCGTGAATCTGGTGTGCTGCCTGTATGATGTATTCATGGCCCTTTGTGTCATTTTAATAAAAAAAAAAGGAAAAAGGGAGACTGTGGGGAGTGGCGATCAATTATTACACCAATTACACAGACTTTCAGGACGCAACAGGGATTCAGGAATGAGAGAGCTCAGGGGGAACAGTGAGAGAGGGGCCTGTTATAAAGCCAAGTCCTGTCACTTTGGGAAGAATTTGTAGCCAGTGAGAGCGGGCTTTGGGTCCGAAACAAGAGCCCGATGAGCCAGTGACTGTCTCCATAATTCTCCTCAGCGGTGTATCAGTGTCGTGGGACGCAGGGTGTTGAAGTTACTCCTGCAGAGTTACAGTCCCAATTGTGTCCTGTGAGCATGACAACAAAGCAGCCATGTGGACGAAAGGCTGAGGCTCCAGGCTCCTAACTCCTCTCTGTACGGGTCAATTAGATTGCAGCCTGCGCTGAAAAGGTAAGCAAATGAATTCTCAACAAAGTGCGCTGGAAATACGAAAGAATAAATCAGAGTTGGACCCGATGATCATTAGACTCGTAAAGTAATAATTCTCCATGGAATTAATTCTCCAGGACAAAGAGATTGTGTAGATGTGTGTAGTTATACATTTGAGCTTATTAAATTGATTTGATTTTTTACTACATGTATTGTTGAACCTAAACAATATTTCAGAAAATTAGATCATGAGAGCATTGCCTTGCACAATCAGAGGTTGCAAAACACAAAAATCCATGACAGTAGCATAAACGATCTTGAATATATCATTTACAAAATAAAAAGTTAATAAAGGGGACTTGTCTTTTTGTGCTGCATTTTGAAGTAAAGTTTCACAGTTCCTTAAAGTGTTTCTCTTAATATCTTGGTTTCCGGAAGATGATAGATAGATGGACATTTTATCAGCAATCAGCTTGTCAGCAATGATCAGTTTGTTCTTTCCATCTCTGTAAAACATACCATATAAAACAAACTTAAAAATGGTTTGAAAGCTGTGGATACAAATTGAGTTCAGTTTATTTCACAGTGTAAACCAGGCAGAAGGTTTATTATTGTGCATATTTGCTCCAGTTTATTATTTCAGTTTACCTTAAAAAAAGGTTCAATGCTGCCTCAAAAGAGGTAAATCAATAGTTTTTGGTGAAGATCTGATCAACACTTGAAGAAGTTTACACTTCCCCGCATCTCCATCGCAATGACACTATAGCATGATATTGTCGATTATATTTCCCCAAATCTGATCTTTAAAGAGGGAGAACACGTCTAATAAATGAACTTTAGATCGTCAGTAAAAAGACGCTTAGAGGATGAGAAAAAAAGTTTTTATTTCTTAATGAATCTTAATGAATATTTTGACAGAAGGAAAAAAACAGAAATAACAAATAAAATAAGAAGGGGGAGAAAAGTGTGTGTGAGTGTGTCTGGAGGGGAGGGAGGGGGATTACTCCTCACTCCAGAATACTAATGAGGGCCTTTTGTCACAGATCTTTCTCTCTTTCCCCTTCTGTCTGTGTGCTCTCATTTTCCACTTTACTCATTTCTCCCTCTCTTTCATTTTCACACACACACACACACACACACACACACACACACACACACACACACACACACACACAC